TGAGTGGGTTCGGAGTGGAGGTTTCAGACGTTGAGGTCTTTCTGAAATCAAATGTTGACGAGGAGGTATGGTACAAACTTCTCGACCCTCATCCGTTTTATGAAAAAGTCTGGAAGACATTTTTATGGAAAGCTAGATTAGCAAAATATGTCCTTGACTATTTGCACGAAAATCCGGGTTCTCTATTTCAAGATATGAAACAGAACTTTTATGATTGGACAACAAGGCTGCGAGGGAATGATGGAAATTACAGAGATTGGATAAGTGCTGTCAATGGGAATCAAGATTTTAGGTCAATAGTGGCGAATAGCATTGATTTCCTGTGGAATCAGGCGTATAATATCGGCGAAGATTATTCAAATCTTTTTTTTTTCAAAGATGAATTTTGTCCTTCATTATATTCGAACGTTTCCAACGCCGCTAAAGTGGAAAAAACAGTTGTCACAAATTTAGCATACGTTTGGTTTAACGACTTATTCCCCAAACATTTAAATCAAATTGAAGTTATTGTAAACAATAATATGGAAAAAGTTAATGGTTTAGAACTCGAAGATGAAGAGTGCAGGATCCTTGATCATGAAGGGAGAATCCCCGAATTCAAAGATTGCATTTCTACAGAACAGCAAATATACACCAAGGTTATTATTGACAATGTGCCGATCTACGTTGGGGACGCTGTCGAAGTATATCCTGATATTGAGGGGGAACGCTGGATTTGTTATATAACCGAATTTCAGAAGATTAATGATTCTGGTACATTCCGCTTAATTTGGTTGTATACTCGCGAGCAGTCCATTCTCGGTAACCTCAATCGGGACTTCGGATCAATGTACGAAAAAGAAGTTTTCTTTACAACACATTGTGAATGCAGTTTTCTTCCAATGGGAATCAATAAAATAATGCGCAAGGTGAAAATATACTACAATGAACCGGAGTACCTGGACTTGAATGGCGATCATCTATTTTTCTGCCGATATTATTATCGACATACAGAATGTGCCTTCTTGAGATTTTATCAAGAAATGCTTAAAAAGAAAAATGGAAAATTACCGTGTGGCTGCGCTAGTCTTAAGGTTTCGAGTGATTTTGAGAACTTTTTGAAATCATACGATGTTGGTGACTGCATCTTAGTTAATCCGCTCAACGGTGACCCTCAAGATTTATATACCGTGTGTAGCGTAGAGAGTATTGACTCAAAAGAAGAAACCATCAATTTAAGAAGATTTTATAGGGTTAGTGAAGTCAGCGAGAAGTATGAATTAAACAAAATCAATGAGGTTTTATATTCAGACTATATTTTTGAGTTTAACGATTTTCAAAAGGTGATTAGAAAATGTCACGTAGAATTTGTGGATCCCAATCGTCCTTTACCGATTAATCTCCAGCACAAGGGTGCCGGTAATCAGTTTTTCTTTTGGAGAAAGTATCACTGTAGTATAAACATAATAAGCCCTATAGTAGATTGTGGTAAATTTCGTGCAAAGTTCCCTAATTACCTTGAAAAAACCGGACATATAGCCAGACTCCGTGGATTAGATTTATTTTGTGGAGGCGGTTCATTAGGTCGTGGGCTGGAAGATGCAGGAGTGGTGCATTGTCAATGGGCAATAGATAGAGATGTGGCAGCCCTAAGAACATACCGCCATAACGTGCAGGGAGATCACACCAATATCATTAACGAGGATGTCAACAAAGTTCTTCAAGATTTAATTCTTGGTACGGGTGATACCCAAAGTATTCCGGATAAAGGTGAAGTAGACATTATTCTCGCAGGTCCACCTTGCCAAGGATTCAGCTCCTTAAATAGAGAAAAGGAGAATGAAAGGAGCATATACAACAATTCTATGATGGCTTCTGTGGCTTCCTTCATAGATTATTACAGACCTCGTTATATTCTGATAGAAAACGTTACCGAAATTACAAAACATCAAGTATTTGTGAGATTATTGGGATTTTTACTAGATCTTAAATATCAAATTAGATTTAATGTAGTATCAGCTGCTCATGTGGGATGTGCTCAAAAACGTTATAGGATATTTTTATGGGGAGCTTCCAGGGATGAGGTATTGCCTGAAATGCCTCCAATGACACATGAATACAAGAATCACAGTAAATTCAGGGAAATAAAGATATTCCAAATGAGTGGTTTCGAGTATGAGGAAGCCGCCAGTTTTCCAATGATAACGATAAGAGATTTAATTGATGATCTACCAAGTATTGATACAGGAATTTATTGGTATCCCGAGTACCCAGATCACCATACGCTTGTCCTGAGTAGAGAATTTAGGGAAATTCTTCGCAGAATTCCACCGTGTTCCCATTATTACCATGCTCGTGAATTAGGATGGATACCTGATATTTACAAATACGAACGTTACGAAAAAAAATTAAAAAAATCCCTTAAGCATTTACAGAGAGTAGATAGTGAAGACATATTTTCGACCATAATTACTGGAATGTCTGGTGATGCCTGTTGTCCGAAGGCTGTTCACTATGAAGAGCCTCGTATGTTATCTGTAAGAGAAGCAGCCAGGGCACAAGGATTCTTAGACTCTGATTTAATTTGCGGTACGTTAAAAGATCAGTACCGGATAATCGGAAACTCTGTGCCTAGAAATATTGCCTTCTGTCTTGGGGTGCAGCTCGTATACGCGTTAACAGATCCTCAACACAAATCAAACCCAAGAAACTTACCAATAACCGATTAGAATACTATCGCAATTTCGGTAACAGTCTATGTGATTATGGATTTCAATGGCTATTGAATTCTAACGAAAATATTATCACTCTTCAATTTATAGAACAATGCCAATTTCAACATTGTTTGATTATGGGTTTCGTATTTTGATCCATTTTCTACGAGCATTTAGATTGAATCTATACATTTCAGGAGCAATTGAGTTTTCATAGACTGACTCTAGCAGTGGCATAATAATCATTTTGGGGGGGACAGCATAGAAGGATGTTGCGAGAAGTCCAACGACCACAATAATAGAATCTTTAATTTATGCACTCTGAAGAAAGATACCAGCCGATGGCGGTAAATAGGAATATGTTGGAACATTTTTTTAATGCTTATATACTGTATCTCATGGTTTACTTATACTGTAACGGGTGAACGGCGATGTTGTTAACGGAGAGCAAAATTCACGTAACTGTCACTTTAGTTTATCAATTGAAACTCAAAGAGGCGGATTTGACTTGACCAAATTTATTTGATACTTTTCTTTAACTTTTTATACATGTTTTGATAGACATTTAGATGATAACTTTTAAAATGTAAAAAAAAAAAGAGGAACTATTAAAGGATGTGACGCTAAATTATATATAATTGCATAATATTACATAATAAAAACAGGTTGATGTTTTGCGATACTGTACTCCGGTTAATATTGGTCATGTGACTATCTTTATGTCCTGACCATTTATTTATTTTTTTTTTTTTTTAATCCCACAATCAGGTTGGTGTCGTTTATTTATTTAATCATAAAGAACCATTACAAGTTGAGA